CAGGACCCTCCAGGAGCTCCTCTCTCTTCACCGTCGTCTGTGAAGAAGCACTAGTCCTTCAGGAGGCTCTCTCTCTCTCTCTCTCTCTCTCTCTCTCTCTCTCTCTCCCCTCTCCACCTCTAGGAAAGCTGTGGTGTCCTCCTTTAACAAGTCCTCGCCCCTCACCATCGTTTGTGAGATGCTCTCTGGCTCCTTCAGGAGGTCCTTCACCGCCGTCTATAGGTATTTTAAGAGCCATAAGGAGGTCAACAGTCGGGCTGGACTCTTGTCTTTTGTGACTTCAGTAGAATGGTGATGGCGGTGATGAGGGCTGGCGGCTTTTGTTCATTGAGAAGACTATTGTTGGTGGTAGAGGAGCTCCACGCTTTGTTGTGGTGGGGGGACTGGCGATAGTAGGAGTTGAACTTACACAAGTCTTGAGTCAGCTGAAGGGATGTATCTTGCTGACGTTAGGTATGTTTTCTCTCTCTTGGTCTCACCTGTACACGACTAGGGTGAGAGGATGCCAACACTATCCTCATTTAATCAGAGTTATTGCAGGTAATTAGACGCAACGGGATAAGTCTGTGAATATGTAGGTAACCACGACAGCAGGACTAGAAGAACCAGGTATTGAGTTGTATGGTTGAGGAATGTCCATCTTGAGTGACTCTTGACTCACCAGCAAGATGACTCAACACCATGACTTTTTTTATATTTCAAGTAGATGACACACTTGATGAATCCTTCCTTTTGTACGTGACGTTCAGGTGATGCGACGTTGTGAATCACCGTAAGATTAGGCACCCCAGTTTATTTCACCTGATGAGGGAACACCTTAATGCTCACCTAACAATCATAACATAACAATTTAATCGAACCTCCCCCCCCCTCCTCCAGGTAGCTGTAGGGTGTTTAATCATCAGGTGAAATAAGCTGGGGTGTGGCGCCCATATGTTGAGGTGGGACATTTGGTTACTACTGAGGTTTAGTGACCACCAGACTTACTCCTGCCTCCACCAGCGGCTCTTGCTAGTGGAGAGAGAAACAAATCAAAAACAGCCATCCTGCAGGACATAATCAACACCATTATTTTCTGCTCTCTTAACTTATCACCATCTTGACCTTCTGCTGTACTAACACTCGACCCTCTTGACCTTCTGCTGTACTAACACTCGACCCTCTTGAGTCTCTGTTTGTTGATCGATCACCGCCTCAAGTGTCACAACAGCTGCGTCTGTATTAACAAATTATAAATATTTTTATTTTATTTTACTGAATATTTGTCTGTTTACTTATATATCTATATAACCACCATCTATCTATCTATCTATCTATCTATCTATCTATCTATCTATCTTTTATCTATCTATCTAAAACAGGAAATCTATCAGTCTACCTCCCTGTACCTCGTGGGCCGCTCGACATACCAGACCTACAGTATGTACGGGTTAGTTAGTTAGTATGGGAGGCGGTGTTTTCCTCCTCGCCCACCCACACCAGCCGGACATTGTCGCGACGGTGGTAGTGCAGTGCTCCTGCCTTTGTGTTCGCCAGGGCTGTCGACCGCCCCCTCACTAGCTGCACCACCACCAAATCTCGGACATAATATTTAGTTGGTGACGTGGCGACCAAAGTAGGGCAGGGCAGGGCTAGTGGTGGTCACTCCGGCGCGAACAAAGGATTAAGCTGTTGGGGTGTCAGTGGGTTGAAACTAGAGACTTTTAGTGGCTGTAGATAGTGGTGGCGGGTGAGTTGAGGGTGACTTAATGCTCCAGTGTAGATACATGTACTTTATCGTAAATACGTGGAACAATTATTATAACTTTAACCGTTCCAAGAGCGTAATGTAACCGTTCTTATCTTAACCTAATATAATCTAATTTGTTAACAACTCTACAGGACTTAGTTTAACCTGACATAACTACTGGATCTACCCTAACCTAACGACCCAACCTAACCTTACCTTATCTTGGTCATCTTTAGTCAGCGTTGGTCAGTCACAACATCCCAGGTTGTATAGTACGTGAAGGGAAAGTTGTAATAGCTTTGAGGTTCACTAAACTCTTAAGCCACAGATGGTTAGGTTCGGTTGGTTAGGTTGGCATTATAATAGGTTAGGTTAGGTTCGGTTAGGTTAGGTTGGCATTATAATAGGTTAGGCTACGTTATGAGTTGTGATAGGTTAGGTTGCGATTAAGTTAAGCTAGGTTGGCGTTATGTTGAAATACGCTGGGGCTAATCTTCACGTGATCTTCTTTTTTTGCCTGGGGTGATAATATTAGACGCCATAAAAAAAATAATCGTTGGTCTCGCCTTTACCCATATGGGGCGCTGTCCGGAGTTTAACTCAACCGCGTCTTCACCTGGACGTTTCCCAACCACACAACCTCATCCCACTAACCTGGCTCTTACCTGTGAAGCTGATGCGTGGGTGGCGAAACGTGCCTCCTAACATGCAGGAATATAGGTGTGTGTGTGTGTGTGTGTGTGTGTGTGTGTGTGTGTGTGTGTGTGTGTGTGTGTGTGTGTGTGTGTGTGTTACCTCTACCTTACACAGTAACCACCTCTCATCCTCATTAACCACTGGACACATTATGCTCTGGTCCCCATTCACCCATGTTTTCAAATGTCCCCACCCAGACCTCTGGATCACATGAAGATAGGCACCCCAGACATAAATTTCTAGTTACATTTCTTGCCGCAAAATCTCTTTACCACCCCAGTACCCACCTACACCTGCCCACCTCTCCCCAGCTACCCACCCCCACCCCACTACCCCACACCCCACCCTACCCACCCCCACCTACCCACCACCTGCAGTCCCCTACCTATCACCATCTTCTGTCCCTACCTACCCCTATTCTCCCACCCCACCTTCCAACCCCTGCCTACCACCCAACCTACCCACTCACACCTCACCTACTACCCCTCCTACCCACCCCCCACCTACACCCCTACCCCACCCCACCTCCCACTACCCACACCTACCCACCCCCACCTCCCACCCCTCACCCCTTCTCTCAGTAAGTCCAGATCTCTAACAAACTTTGGTGCCTCACTGTCCCTCCTTTCAGTCCAATCTCCTCCTCCTCTCCTCCTCCTTCCTCCCCTCTTCCTCCCTCCCTCTTCTTCCTCCTCCTCCTCCTCTCCTCCTCCTCCTCTTCCTCCTCCTCCTCCTCCTCCTCCTCCCCTCCTTTCCGTGTTTGGTGCCCTCACACACAATTCCTGTTGCTTATATCTCATCCCTTCATCTACCGTTTAGAGTCTTTGCTTTTTACTCTGTTTGGTAATGTTGGCTCACTCAAACGCTCTATAAACCATCACTTGAATAATTTAAGGTGTGTGTGTGTGTGTGTGTGTGTGTGTGTGTGTGTGTGTGTGTGTGTGTGTGTGTGTGTGTGTGTGTTATGGCCATTTAATACAGTCATTATAGTTGGTCTAATTTTACACATTTCTCAAAACAGGTCACCACACACTCACACTTCCCTCTCCCTCTCACCACCGCCATCATCTTCACCACCACCACTCACCACCACCACACTCACCACCACCACCACCCCACACCACCACACCATCACCCACACCACCACCATCACCCACACCACCATCACCCACACCACCACCACACCCCACCCCACCATCACCCACACCATCACCACCACACCACCCACACCACCACCACCACCATCATCACACCACACCACCCTCACCACCATCACCACCCTCACCTCCACCACCACCACCACCCATACCACCACCATCACCCACACCATCACTGCCACCACCTCACCACCACCATCACCACACCTTCACTAACATCACTCACCACTACCCTCACTCACTACTATCACCATCACCATCACTCACCTCACCATCACTCCACACCACCACCATTCCACTCCACCACCACACCCAACAGTTCCCTTTCTGTCATCCAACACTCTGCCCTGCTCTGTAATAATGGAAAGTTTGCTTGTGTTTGTGGGGAAGATGTAATGTTTGTGGGTTGGTAATGTTTGTTGTATGATGGTAATGTTTGTGATGGTGGTGGTAAAGGGTGATAGATGGTAGTAGTAGTAGTGGAGGAGGTGATGGTGATAATGTTTGTGCTGGTATAGATGGCTGTGTCTCAAGGAGGAGGAGGAGGAATGGTCTCTACAACAAGGTAAATTTAGCATATGAATATGTATACCTATCAAGTATAATAATTAACTCCTCCCTACACACACACCTGCCTGTTTGTCTGTTGATCAGCTTATACACCCGTTTATATCAATTGCTCCTGTTGGTATGCATCTGTTGAAGGTTTGTCTTCTTTATTTCGGTTCTTAGTTGTGTTGCTGTGAACTCACGCAAGGAGGACCAGCCAGTGCGCAGTGCTATATTTGGCACACGTTTACCCAGAGCCTCTATCCTTGACCTTCTAATTTGGAGGTCACAGGTCAAGGATTTCAATCTTACAATAACGACCACCACCACCACCAACCGGCATGAGTTAACACCTGCCTGCTAACAATTTTATTGTCTTTTGTCCCTTTGTTCGTGTTTGTCTGGGGCGTCTGGTTGTCTGTCTGCCCAAGCTTGGTGTCTTCTGTCCTGGCGTCTGCCTGTCTGTCCGTGTTGTTTGCGTCTTTCTGTTCCTGGCGTCTGCCTGTCTGTCTATGCTGTTTGCGTCTTTCTGTCCTGGCGTCTGCCTGTCTGTCTATGTTGCTTGCGTCTTTCTGTCTGGCGTCTGCCTGTCTGCCCATGTTGCTTGCGTCTTTCTGTCCTGGCGTCTGCCCGTCTGTCCGTGTTGCTTGCGTCTTTTCTGTTCTTGGCGTCTGCCTGTCTGTCCGTGTTTATGCCTTTCTGTCCTTGGCGTCTGCCTCTGCCTGTCTATATGTTGCTTGCGTCTTTCTGTCCTGGCGTCTGCCTGTTTCTATGTTGCCTGCGTCTCCCTGTCCTGGCCTTGTCTGTCTGTCTGTCAGTGTTGATCACGGATTGTATCGCTTGACACGGCTTTCTTTTTTAATCCTCAGATTGAAAATATCCCGGCAGTGAGAGATTCAAATACTGGCAAGGCAAGTATGGTGTGGTAGTGTTGTAGTAGTGTTGTGGTGTGGTAGTGTTGTGTGTGGTGTGGTAGTGTTGTGGTGTGGTAGTGTGGTGGGGTGTGTGTGGTGGGTGAGGTAGTGTTGTGGTGTGGTAGTGTTGTACTAGGTTGGTGTGGTGGTGTTGTGTGTGGGTAGTGTTGTGTTGTGGTGGTGTGGTGGTGGCATAGTTGTGGTGGGCAGTGTAGTGGCAGCATGGTAGTTGTGGTGTGGTAGTAGGGCAGCACTGTGGTGGGGGTAGGTAGTGGGCAGCATGGTAGTTGTGTGTGGTAGTGTAGGCAGCATGGGTATTGTGGTGTGTGTGGCAGCATGGTAGTTGTGTGTGGTAGTGTAGTGGCAGCATGGTAGTTTGTGGTGGTAGGTGGCAGCATGGTGTTGTGGTGTGGTAGTGTAGTGGCAGCATGGTAGTTGTGGTTTTGTAGTGTAGGCAGGCGGTAGTTGTGGTGGTGGTGTAGCATGGTAGTATGGTGTGGTAGGGTGGCATGGTGGTTGTGGTGTTGCAGTGTAAGGCACAGTAGTTGGTGGTGTGGTGTTATAGCAGCATGGTGGAGTGTGGTAGTGGGGTCGGTGTGTGTGGTTTGGTTGACTGTAGTTCCACTGACTATACGTGTACTGTATTGATACAGTGCAATGACAAAGACATACACACACACAACACACATAACATTACTATAATATATTTCACAAAATTGAACGTAAAATGGGGGATAAAATAATAGCTCAAACCTTGATTGTTATGACACAAATTAGTCCATATGCTTGTTAAAGACCAGATGATACGATCGTGGGCAGTATAGTGATAAACTACCCACCAGCGTACATAAGGTCCATAAATCTGGTTGATGTGAGAGAGTTCCGCCTTCAGACTTGGGGGTGAGTCTGGTGACGATGTGATGTCCTTGGGCTGCGGTGATGTAGATGCCCGTGACGGTGTGAGAGAGGGTGTGGGGTGTTTGGGTTTGTTTGATTTTTTCTACCAGTGAATGCGGGATAACTCAGTCAGTCTTATGTTTATGTTGTATTATAAATCTCTGTGCAATGGCTTTGTTAGACGAACGTTGTAATAGTCTCAAGATGGAGATTTATCTGCACTTACTCTCCTCCTCCTCCTCGTTAACGTATGAAAATTATATCTCTGGTCAGTCATCTCTCTCTCTCTCTCTCTCTCTCTCTCTCTCCTCTCTCTCATAGTCCTGCCACAGCATCTCTCTCTCTCTCTCTCTCTCTCTCTCTCTCTCTGCTGTATATTCCTTGGCCACATCTCTCTCTCTCTCTCTCTCTCATAGTCCCTGGCTACAGCATCTCTCTGCTTATATGGAGTGTAAGAATCAATGGCTGGTGGAGGTAGGTGGCTGTTTGAATGATTGTGGTTGTTGATGTAGTTTTGATGCTCACTGGGAAAGTTTTTGGGTGAGCGAGGTTGTTGGGTGGGTGTGAGGTGTAGGGACGAGGGGGAGTGGAGGGGATTAGAGGGAGTAGGGACGAGAGGGGGAGGGAGGGGATGGAGGGGGGAGGAGGGGACGGGAGGGGAGGGTGAGGGGACGGGAGGGTGGAGGAGGGGACGAGGAGGGGAGGTGGGGACGAGAGGGAGAGGTGAGGACGAGAAGGAGTGGAGGAGGGGACGAGATGGAGGAGGAGGAGGGGATGAGAGGGGGAGGTGAGGGGACAAGAGGGGGAGAGGGGACGGGAGGGGGAGGAGGGGACGGATGAGGGGGAGGTGAAGGGATTAGGAGTGAGAGGTGGGATGAGAAGGAGAAGTGGAGGAGGGACGAGAGGGGAGGAGGGGCCAGGGGAGAGGTGAGGGGCACCATCATCACTGGATTTGCTAATTGTTAATTAAACTATAATCACTCACAAGTTCTGGTAGTTTTGTAATTTTTGCCTTCACTTTATATAATTAATTGTTTGAATTAATCAACACCTGTTAATGTGGTTGCGCTGGTACGCTGCTGTCACTGATTGTTGATTACACTTTATCGAGTGTCGCTGAAATGTATATCATATTGTTGTTTTTTGTTAACCTTTCCGTCCATAGAATATATATATATACTTAGTTGAATGTAAATGCCACGTGTTTGGTCATCCGTGCGGGTTATGAGGTTTACGCCCACCAGGTCACCCATGTAACGTGAGATGTGCGTGGGTGCATAGGGGTTTAGGGTTTTTAACCCTTTTCATCAGAAAATTCCAAACTTTTTCCTCTAATGGTGATTGGTAATTGTATTTTTTGTGTAGTAAAAAGAAATAACTATTGACTTCAGATTCCCTATATCATACATATGGCTTCAAATGTGGCCCATGATATTTGTCAGATTTAAAAGAAACTAAACAAATCTGGGGGCTACAGGCCTCTAAACCTCTCCTGGGATAGTAATGTTCCACCCAAACTTGGGCCCACTCTGTGTTATATTCCTGGATCCGCCCTTGGTGTGTGGGGAGAGGATGGTATATAAATCATTGGTCAGGAGTGGAGATGGGTGAGGACACCCACCCACCCACGGAGGAAATATGTCACTGAATCTTGTTCTCAACAGGAAATTCTTCCCAAATGAGTATTGGCTCTGAAGACCACTTTTTCAGCCTCTGGGCTTAAGGTGTGTGGGCTGGATGTTCACTTAAATACTCTTGATCTAGAAGAACTGAGAGAATGCAGAGAATTCTGTTGTGGCATTGGGTATATGACAAATTTAGACAAGAGGTACTGGTGCCTGTATAAGGACAGAACCAGACAGATTGATTAGTGCCAGAATTAGGCTAGGATACAGATAATATTCTGGAAAGTTAGTAACGCTTGTAATTTCCATACCGAACACTCCACATGTAAACTTTGTGATAAACCTTAAAGCATACACTTGAACACTATATAATTGGACACTGTCAAAGACTTCAGGCCACCTGGTTTATTGTTATTGTATCATGAACTTTGTAATTACTACATTGAATCGGGGGTGCATAGACATTTTGCTGTTTATCCCAAATTTGTGAGCCCACAATTAAAATAAGATGTCCTAATGTATATGAACCACTGTTCTGGCAGTGGCAGCCACCATGAGACTCTGGACTTATATATACTGTTAATGAATATGATGTATTTTCGTATGAACTCTGTTCTATGGCAGTGAGAAGTGATACCACCCTCAGTGTCAAGACCTGACTGAATTACTCAGAATAGGCAAACTGTACTACAAGCTTTGTCAATAAATTTGATAACTTAAAAAACTTAAATAACGCACTCCCCATCATTCACCACTTAAATAACGCACCCTCTGGTCACTCATCATTTAAATAACGCACTCCCTGGTCACTCACCACTTAAATAACGCACCCCACCCCTCACCACTTAAATAACGTGACTTCCTGACCCTCACCACTCCTGAATATTATAGACCTGTATGTATTTTTGTCCGGTCATTAATGGTAGTGCCAGTGTAGGAGTTGGGGGTCGAGTGCCACGCCAGGATACGTCAGGTTGAGAATGACAGTGTTAGGGCGTCTAGAAGAATGTGTTGACGTGAGGCGTTACAACTTAGAAGAGACCGACAGACTCACGTACACTCTATATACACAGGAAACTCAGAACTACTCCTTGGGGCGACTCCAGGGAGGAAGCAGAATCCAGAACTGTCCGAGTAAATAAGCGAGAGGTGAGAAACGAACCTCATGATGACCGAGGAAAAGACGAGGTGGAGGAGGAGAAGAGGTGTGAAACGAGGAGAAGATGGAAGAGGAAAGGGGACGTGAGAGAGGAGGAGGGGGAGAAGAAGAGACGTGGAGGAGGAGAAAAGGTGTGAGACAATGCAGGAGGAGGAGGAGGAGGAGGAGGGTTGTGAACGCGTGATGGATGGTCAATTTAGGCCAGGTTCGATGTATCACGTCTCCCTTAAAATCGTTCATGGTGGCCCCTCCTGGGTGGGTGGGCAGAGAGGCGGGTAGGGATTGAGAGGAGGGAGAAGAGGAGGACCGGAGACGGAGAGGGAGAGAGGAAAGAGGAGGAGGAGAGAATGGGGGACGGGAGGTAGGAGATGGGGAGAAGTGGAGTGTGAGGAGGTGAAGGGCGAAGATTGCCTGAGGTGGAAATGGTTAAGAGAGAGAGAGAGACTTGAAACAGGAAGAAAACTGAAGACCCTAAACATTTCTAACTTATGAAGGAGAAAGAGTTGGAGGAGCTACAAGCAACACACCTTGTAAGTCTTGAGGAGAGAGGAGGATGAGGCTGGAGGTGAGGAGGTGGCGAGGCGGGGGTGAGGGTGGCGGGGGTGAGGTGTAAGAATGGTGTACTGGCGGGTATCTGATGATGGGTATAGGCAGCGGTGGGATTACTAGGTTGCTCTCTGCCTGATGTTCCGATACGTCACCACCCGTCACACACACACTGCCTTCCGCCTTTTCTTTTGTCTCTTTCTTCTTTCTTTATTTATCGAATGTTTACTCTCGGTTACATAGATATAAACACAGTGACAGAATAACATAACTCACTGGCGACTTCAAACCCAGTTAAATTAAATTAATTCTCAATGTATCTAAGTCTGAACCTAGCCCAAGTGGGTTTTAAGAAATTTTGATCGGATTCTGGGAGGTTTGACTTAAATGATAAAGTCAGTCTAGATATTGATCACGGAGAATTGGGCACCCTAGCCTAACCTAACGCTAATCTAACAATAGAACATAAGCCTAACCCAATATATCCTTGTGTGTGTGTGTGTGTAACCCTCCACCACCATTCTATGAGTACTTATTAATCTTACTTTATTGAATTGACATCCTTAATTCAAATCAATTTTAATATTTGTGACCTTTTTTTTCATAAGGGTCATATGTGTCACTTTTTTTCTTATACGAGGGACCAACATTCAGTAATTCAACAGCCACCCGTCACCTTCCCTCACCCCTCATTCTTCCCTCACTCTCTTTTCTCCCTCACCTCACTTTTCTCACCTCACTTCTCTTTCCCTCACCTCACTTTTTCCCCTA